ACACACACACACACACACACACACACACACACACACACACACACACACACACGTTTTGAAACACTTTCAACATAAATCGTTGTAGTAAAATGGTGATTGTGCTTGCATAGCTTTTTAAGAGGAAATGACGTTTTTTATATAATGTAAACATTAAAACTGTAACTTTAATTCGATTGACATAATACTTGTATGTTTTAACAAGAATGTTTCGTCGTATCAACGAATATATTAAGAATAAACTTTACTACTGTGGTGCCCATTTTACAAATGCATTAACTAGCAATTAATGGCGTATCAGGATATACGTCCATAGATAAGAAATGTAGCTTGTCTTCATAATCTTCAAAATTAAAATTATATAAATTACAACAGCTTAAATAAAGATTGGGCTAGCGAAACATCTGTATGCAAGCAAGTGAAAAAAGAAAAGCTGAATTTTATGAATTGTGTATTTTTTATTTTCCCTTTATAACCAATTCCTTAATCACACTTAGTAATGCTAAATAAACGAAATTTAACGAATAACAATTTGTTATACATGTCTTCAAAACACATTTCTGTAGAATTATAACTACGAAATGATTTAATATGACTATGTGCATTAATCTTTTTTTTTTCTTTTTTCCAGGAGCCTTTTTAATTCCTTACATCTCATTCTTGGTGATTTGTGGAATGCCCCTCTTCATCCTGGAGAACTGTTTTGGTCAGTTTGCAAGTCTCGGACCTGTCTCAATTTGGAAGATTTCACCAATCTTCAAAGGTGGGAGTTGCTTTGAATTAGTATTTTCTAATGATTTTTATGTAGAATGACAATGTTATAACGTTGTTTTTTTAAATAATTTGGGGAAAATAAGGCCTAATCCACCTAACTATAACAAATTAGTTTATTTCTTTCTTAACCTACAGGTTACTATACTTGTTCACAGTTGTACTTGTTAGTTGTAGGCGTAAGTTTACAGATAACATTTTCACTTTCAAATTCAAAAGAGATTTACTCATTAATGGTACTATGATTTACACAATTTCAGGGCTAATCGATCGAGCAACTGAATGTACGCGATAACTACTTATCCAAGGATAACTTCATTGAATGACCTACTTAAAAAATCTGTCTAACACACACTGATTCTCGTAATTATAACGTATCCTTGTTTCTAGAAACTTCATAAAGTCTCTTGATAATAAATATTCTTGGTATTCTGGAACTACTTTTATAAACTTGCTTAATATCCTGCACTTTCTTGTTAACGTCGAAATTAAAGCATTGAAAATTCGAAATTGAAAATATATTCTACAGTGACAAAACATGTTTAAGTTTTCACATGTATAATGATGTTATCTATATACTACTAAAACTGAGATTGTTTGTTTGTTTGTGTGCTTGTCTGTAATTAAATACAGCAAAAACGACGCACAATAGCGCCATATTTGTAATGAAATGAGAACAGAAACAGAATAAAACAAGTTTCGTTAAAATCGGGTTACAGAGTTAGTGCCGTTTTTCGGGTCACTTTTATGAAAAGTTCTAGATGAGTTTAGGTACACTAGATGACGCCACGGTTATCGATCTATATACTACTAAAACTCTGAGATTGTTTGCTTGTCTGTAATTAAATACAGCAAAAACGGCGCACAATAGCGCCATATTTGTAAGGAAATGAGAATAGAAACAGAATAAAACAAGTTTCGTTAACATCGGGTCACGGGTTACCGAGTTAGCCCCGTTTTTCGGGTCACTTTTCGTACATTCCATTATTACGTTTTCCAACCGATGAATCACTTTAAAATATCTTCTATTCAACAATATATGCACAACATAAATTAAATGATGAGATGAAAATGTGTTATAACGGCGCGTAGAAAGAACAACAATAAAATGGACCTACAATATTGACTATTTGCAAATAGTAACTATGGAGATGAGGTAATAAAATAAAAATCAAGTCGAGAACAACAACAACATTTTATAAACGAAAACCTATTATATTATTGGCTATTATATTATTTCCCCTGTCAATGTTCCCATCTTCGTTAAAAGGCGTAAGATGAAAAAAACAAGATCTTGAAGAATCTATCATCTATATACTACTAAACTCTGAAATTGTTTGTTTGCTTATTTTTCAGTCAAAAATACGGTAGTGTGAATGATCGCGCTCTTTACGAAACTTCTTACTTCACTCTTTTGAAAAATTAAATGGTCTTTCCTTTTACTCCCAATCAACATTCAAATATCTTTTCTTGAATTATGAATAACACGAATGGATTGAAATATTTAATTAAATTATCTCAAAATAAACCTTCATTTAGGTGCAATATTGAAATTAGCTTGAATTCTTCATAACCTCTGAATAGTGGGTGGTCTAGTAAAATTTAAAAATAGAAAAAGTAATGAATTTATTATAAGCTGTGTAAATGCTATACAAACTTCTTGAAATCTCGAGATTGAAAAATAAAGACTACTACTCACACCATGTAGTTTACGGAATCTTAATAAAGTGTGTGTGTAATCCAACATTTCTCTTGATGGAACTTTATGACCATTTGCTTTTTGCATCAATCCATCTTGCTTTATATCAGCAGGAAATTTCCCAGCTTTCATTATTAGATCAAGTCAAGTGATGGTATCTGTAGGATATACAAGACTGTTTAGTTTAATAGTTATTTAGTTTATTTGGTGGTCTACTATTTAATGATTATTTACTTTTCATAACAAGAGAGTTAAAAGTAATTATTTTAAATATGATAGTTGTGACAAGTTTGGTTGCGTAACTCAGTAAGAGTCGTACGTTGTGTTTGTGATCCAGTTGTTGCAGTATTGTTGACGCTAGTCGAATCTTCGGTATGTTTCTTGTCACCCTAAGTGAATATTGTTACAGTGTAGCATCGCTCACGCAGTTTATAGAAAGTTGAAGGCCTCGGTGAACAATATATATAGGTGACTAGTGAGTCAAGCAAGTAGAAAAAACAGTCAAGTAAAAGTTCGGTCAGAAAAAAAAGTTAGCCGGTGTGTGAGTGATTAGACATAGTTATTTTAAAGTGAGTGTTTCACAGCTTAATAAGAGATAAGGAGAATAATTTGTCTTGTCAAAGGGTGTTCCAAAGTAATTGAACCTGTCTGTGTAGACATTGACGAAAAGTAGACAATTATTTAAAGTTTGAGATACAACTGTGGTAACCTATGGGGTAACATAAGTGAATCTGTTGCAGATTGTATAGTGAGAAAGAGAGATAGAGAAGAATAATTCATCTTGTCAATTGGATTCTAAATGTAACTGAACTAGCTTATGTAGACTTTTGACAAGAAAAGAGAATTATTTAGTTTTAGATACAACTGTGATATCCTATAGTGTAAAGAATTTTTGTACATACGTTTGACTTGTTTTGAATATATTATTTTAAAATGAGTGGATTGTGTGCTGTCTGTTTATTGTACAAATTTATTACCAACAAATCAGACACCTACTGTAGAAGAATCCCAGCCCACTCTTATATTTAAAACCCTGACAGCATCTATAGAACCAGGTAGTGGAGTAGCTGGAGTAATCCAGGAAAATCCTGCAGTCATGCATTACATAACAGTAGCCATAACAGGTGTAGTTTAGATGGGTTCCAGCAATTCTTCCATATACAAAGTTTTAATAGTGTTTTAGATTGAAAACCTTGAGCAAATGCAGAGAAGGTGTAAAAATTTAATTTCTCTACACATGACGCATGGTAGTATGTTGTGCAGTGAAAACAACCTGCAGGACACAGTGTGTTATTAACAGGAGTGATAGTTTAGCAATTTTCCTCTTTCTGTATATCGGACTGTGGTAAGCCAAACTATCACATATTGTCATTGGATATGCTCTACTGGACCCTTACTTCACATACCAAATTTCAAGGCAATCCATTAAGAAATACACAAGATATAAAATCTTCAATTTTGATTGAATTTCTTCCTTTTTTTTTTCTTTGCACCAAAAGTATGGAAACTTTATTTGATAAAAAACACAAACATGGTACACTGATAGATATTTATAACCTACAATTAGGTGTCAAAGTTGCCACGTGCAAATTTATTAAACAAAAACTGCTCAATTCTGACCAACGTTTTTGTGAACACCTACAAAAAAAAAAGTAACATGAGCTATCGGTCTAACACTTTTACTACAGCTTCACTTTAAGAGTAAAAGTGGACAGTGTTTAGTTTTTGGTCATTTGGATTAAATATGGCTGATTTAAAGCAGCAAAATTATAGGGTGAAAGCACATGCAGATACATAAGTAGTGTTTAGGCCAAGCAAACTAGATTAGCAGTTTCTAGCTCAAGTTTTCAAAAGAATCATACAAGTGGATGGTTATTATTAATTTGCCAATTTTTAAGCATGTATTTGCTAAATTTTATGAAGTTCTATTAACTAAATAGCATTTAGTGTTGTATGATATTAGCTTAAGCAGTTAGCATAAATAATGATGCTGAATATGGCTGTATGAAGTGCATGCGGGTGATGACAAGAAACTGCTAATCTAGATTCCTTGGTGTTACTATAAAGGAAGTTATTAACACTGTTGTAGAGAGTAAAACTACCACCATATATTTTAAAGAATATGGTTGGCTCTGTAAAGTGTAGGTTTGTTCCGAATATTAGGGTTTCAATCCTAAAGCTAATATTGGCTACTATCAAGTGTCACTTTCTTACTTGTTGTGGTTTCTTGGTGTGTATTGACAAAAAGTCATATCTAATCAAAAACACCTTAGGTGTGAAAAAAAAAGGTGCTGCCAAAAAAGAATTGAGCATGTGACTTAAAGGAATGAAATCAAACTTGTAAGCCAAACTGGTAGCTACACTTATAGCACTGATAAGAATTTTACAGCAAATATCCATTCATTAGTTAGCTAGGCCACATATTTTATTTTACCCACCATCATGCCCCAAGTTGAACAAAAAACATGGCCTGTAAAAATTCTTATCAATGTTATAACAATGTTATAAGTGTAGATACTGGTTAGTACTGTAGTGTCATAGGCTAGTAGTCTAGTGTAGTGGTTCTCAATGTGGGCCATATGCCCCCCCAGGGGACCATGTCATGTTTCTAAGGGGCCACATGTGAATGACGGAAAATTAGGGGGCCACAGTGAATTCTGAGTGGGCCACCAAAACTTCAATTCCTGAATAAAATATTTAAAATTGAATCAAAGGTTCCCTTCTCTCCATATTTCCCACAGCTCAGAAGTCAAGTTACCAGTCGCGACTAGTACTCGAGTAACAATCAAAATGTTTGTCTGGTATCTATGAAAGTTTTCGAGTGATTCTTGAGTAGCAGGGTGATATAATATTCCAAGCTAGATTCAAACGTGAGAAACATTATTTCTTGATAAGTAGTGAAATAGTTAATATGTTTCCACAGCTCTGGGAGAAGGCAAAGTTGTCTTTTATCGCTTTTCCCACATCTTATCTGGTTTTAATCGGGTGACTTATTTGCTATCAAAAATACTTAACTTCCTTGATGTTGTGAAGAGAGGTGATCTTTGCTTATCACTGACTACACTGCAACCGGACATTCAAAAACTTTCAAGTGTTCAGCTGGCCCAAGGATCAC